CCCCCCCGGAGGGCCCCTGTAGCTCTGCCCGTTCTGTTCCTGCCCGGAGCGGTTCCAGACCTCTCTGTGTGTGCCCTGAGCCGCATTGCTCACCAGCGGTGCTCTCCTGCCTTCTGCAGTCCTAGTTGCAGGATCTAACCTTTCATTACCTTGTTTCCTGGTTGAAGTCAGCATCTCCAGGCCTTGTTTCAGGTGTTGCCTCTTCTTCCAGCCTGCGGTGTGCATTCCAGGCTCCCTGATTTCAAAGCCCTCCAGCTGACTTCTGACTCTACTCCTTTTGCCTCGCCCATTGGATTTGTAGATCTTTTTGTACCTCAGCTGGCACTGATCCTAATGTTATTTCAGCACTACTGCAGCCCTGTGTATACCTGACAGATATTTTCTAGTCTCAGCTGATATGCCCTAAAGGGATTCATAAAAGGGTGGTGATAGCAGAGCTGCCTCAGGCTGTGGTCAGACTAGCTGCTAAACAGACCAGACCATTGCTTCCTAACTCTTTTCTGTTGTAGTGATTCATGTTAGAAATATTTTCAGTTGTATTGCTAACCTAGATCACTGGTGGAACAAGAACCAGAGCTTGACTGCACATAAAATTACTGATTTGGGAGCACTGATCTTAGAAAGGGGGCTGGAAATATGTAAATAGGGATAGTAATCTCTTTTCTAATCATCAGTTTTTTACTTCAGGATAGGCCACTTGATAGGAAATGTCAAGGACAGAAGTGATCTAAGCTGTGCCCATTTCTAGGACATAGAAGACTGTAGAATCTGCTTGGGATTCATAATGCCTGAACCTTACCAGGTTCCATCCCTTTGTCACATAGCAAGGCAAACAGGGCTGTCCTCAGCCCTGTGATCCATTCTCACCAGTGGCTGCTGCATGCACTGGGCAGAGGGGAGCTCCCTGTTTTGCTTAAGAATGGATGTGAGCTCAGCATCAGTAAAGAAAAATATTCCAGCCGTTTTGCTAGGAAGTATTTAGGGTATTTAGAAGCTCTTTCTGTTAGAACCATTACAGTTTGCAAGGAATAATTAAATACTCATTTTGAGAGATGGGAGAATGAGCACTGCTCTTTAGTCTTCTCTCTAAGCACTTATACAAAGGGAGAGAAATCAAGATTCCAGACTTAGCTTCACTGAATACTTAATTTAATGTATTTAAATGTTAATTGGAGTCCTGGTGAGTGCCCTGAGCATTAAGCTGCAGAAGTATTGCTCATTCTTGCCTTTTTCCTTAGCCCAATTAATATTTATTTCAAGTACATTAAAACCAGCCTACAGGAACAATGGAGATTCACCTTCCTTGTGGTATTCTTGGACTTACTGATTATTTGAGGTGAGGTCCTTGCAGGTTCAGACCTTCCCATGGAGAATGTCATGGTGTTGAAAGAAGGCCCCACAGATTTAGGATGAGCACTGAGATCAATGAGCTGGGGGAAAGGACCCCTTGTGTCACTTATTACCCAGGGCAGCAGATGATCCCTTCTGGATCAGGGATGGTGGGAGAGAGGTGGACAAGAGGATTCCCAGCTGTGTGGTGAATCCTGCCTGCCCTGAGTTAGGGGACTGAGGCTGCTCATCCCCATCTGGCCTTGCCTCTGTGCTGCTGGGGCCTTGTCTCTGGCTCACACAGGTGGTGCCTGAGTCTGGAGAAATGCAAATGTGGACTTCAGGTTCTGAGTTCCCTTTGTGACTGTAGTCCTAAAGAAAATGTGCTGTCAGGCTTGTTTTTAAATGCAAATCTCCCCTGTTTTGTTGGCCTTTCTTCCTGTCCCGCCCCTAGAAAGCCCTGTGTGAGTACTCGCACTGCCTGCTGCTCTTACCTGCCAGCAACATTGCAATGAGGCGCGATGTCCAGGAGGGCCAGGCTCGCTGCTTATCTCGCCTGGGGAGGCACAAGGAGGCTCTGGATATTGCAGAAAAAATGGTAAATAGTGCAGTCTTTCTTTTAGGCCTTGAACGTGAAAACATTGCCAGTAGTTCTTTTATACAGACCATTTTCTGGAAAAATAATTTTCATGTGTATAATCCTTCAGGATGTTCAGTGCTCAGAGTATTTGGTAAACAGAGGGTAACTGTCACTGCAGATATAATCACTCTTTAGAAACTGGAACACCCTGTACCACAATGAGCTCCCTGTGCAGGGAAACTGGTAGTCCTGGAAGGGACTAAATATCATGCTCTGCCAGGCAGAATTAATGCAATGTAATAGGAATTATAAAAAAGGGAATAAACGAGTGCTTAAATCTTTCCACTATACAAGTGACAGTTCAAAACTCCCTTTTATTTCCATATACTTGCTGCCAAACTGCCACCAAGAAGAGTATCCAACTACAAAATGAGTTTTTCCCATAAAGGAAAAAGTCCAGAGGCTCTGAACTCTGCTAGAATATTACTGATGATTTTTATTTTATGTAAAAGATATTTATGCTGCAAAGAAAGGCAGCTGTAGAACACTCTGAAGGCACATAAACAAATGACAGCATTTAGGACCTTGTTGCCTCTCAGACTGGGACAAGGCACCTAGAGGGAATGCTGTCAGCTTGACTGGGCAAGATCTGTATCCCAATGTATCATTTTAAATTAAAAGCACCGTTTTGTACAGTTTTAAAATTACCTTTTGTATATTTGTGTGTCATTATTCAGGGAGACATTTTCTTAGGCTCTGAAGCATGATTCTGTTCTACCCCTGGTTTTAATCTGTGATCTTTGTTTCTAGAGAAACAGCGCCACTAACACAGATCACTTAACCACGGTTCTCAACCTGCAGCTTTCCATTTACCAGCGGCTGGAAAACGTAGAAAAAAAGATGATGTGTCTGCAGCAACTGATCTGCTTACATCCTTTCAATCCCTGCTTCTGGAAGTTACTTGCTGAAGCTTATATGAGCCTTCTACAGAATTTGTCTCCATTGGTCATTCCAGAAGCAAGCCTAAATCAGTCTGAGGAGGTTTGTGTAAGTAATGGCAGTTCCCAGACATGGACTGGCAGAGAGATCAATCTGCAGCCTCACAGATCAGAGGGCCAGCAGGAGGGCCCTTGGCTCAGCCCTGCTCCAGAAACAAAGGGGGAGAATGCAGTTTGTCCCAGCAGCCAAGCAGTGAAAGAATTCCTCTGCACTTCAGGAGAACTGGAATGGACAGACAGAGAGAAATGTGCAGGCTCCAAGGCCTGGAAGCAGAGCATGTTAAAGAAAGTTGGGATAAAAGCATGTGCCTCGTTTATCAGAGCAAGGTAACTCTGTGTTCTTAAAATAATGTTAATTTCTCTCAGTCAAGAACAATGTAAAGCATATTTTTCCCGGGTTTTGTTTTCAGTTTGCATTTTAAATTTAAGTGTTTGTTTCAACACTAACTTAGAAGCACCCTACTGTTGCTTCAGATCTAAAATGCAAAATCTGCTTAGTGTGGTGGCTGTGAAGAGGCTGAATCTGAGTGGAAGGAGTAAACCAGTGTCACCCACAGCTGACAAGTAAAGAGTTTGTTAATGAGCTTATAAATCTCTTCAAGTAATTATATACAAAAAGGTCTGTTCTTCAACAAATGCTCTTGCTAGACCATTGCTGTTCCCGGGTCTGGTGTTAAAGATGCAGAAGCAGAAGTGCCCAAAGGGAAGGCATAGCCAGTCTTCCTTCTGTGAGTGCCACCTGTCTTATTTGCTTGAAGCCTCATGCTTGAGTGAAAATGTATTTTATAATGATACCCCAATCTGCATAATGGATGAGGCTGGAAAATGAACTCTGTGACAACTGATTGACAGGGCTGCATTAAAATGTTCTTTCCTTTTCTTTTCCCTCTTCCTAAAACTCTTGCGTGCAGCAAAAATCCCCAAAACAGAATCTTTCAAAGAGATAATTAGGAACTGTGGTTTTGTTAAAATAATCTTGGATGTTTTTTCCCCCTCTTGCCTCACAGTAATGTATCAGTCACTGAATGTTCTTAAAGGCATCTTATGAATGTCCAGAAATGTTTGCAGAGAACACTTTATAACTGCCCTGCTGGGGCAAGGTTTAAGAAATGAAATTCTTAAATCTTAAATAGCAGCTTTTAACTGTACTCCAGACTAAGAGATGAAGACTTTAATTGTGACTTGGAAGAAGTTCATTGATTTAGCACTGATACTGAATATTGAAGGTGCATTTATATTAATAATTTGTGTGGCTTGTTTCAGTGTATGTGGTTCACAATGAGATAGTTCTACATGGTGGCATTTCCTTGCTTGGCTGAACAGTTTCACAGAGTGTTACTGTGCTTTGTATTTGCAGATACACAGGATAAGCTTCTCCCCTGCCCAGGGCTTATGCAGGTTGTCTAATATTTTCAGGTCTGTTGGATTTTAAGTGGGATCTAGATTTGTATAAATGTATCTGCAGGATAAATTGCACCTGGAAAAGGGATGTTAGCACTGATTTTTGTAGGAAATAAGGTTCTCTGTTGATGCATCATGAATAATTGACTCTCATAGTTTCAAAAAAAATTAGAGTATTTTTTTGCTTAATTTTAGTTGAAACTTTTTTTTTTTTTAATACTACGTTGATGCAAATTTTGAAACAAAAATACTTTACAAATTAAAAATATGTTCCATTTTTGCTTGGAACAAACACACCATCTGAAAATTCAGTGAAGTTTTAACTGAGAAAATCACATTTGTAAATTTTGATGTTTATAGTGTTCAAATGAAAGTTTTCATCTCAGATCTTGAATCTTTCCCTTAAAAATGCACACCATTATTTTAACACCAGCTTCACTTAACTTCAGTAAATGGGATAAAAAAGTTTGTAGTTTTTTCTTTTTTTGCATAAAGCTTGAATTAAACACATTTTTGCTAAGTTCTAATGGTCCCTTGGTTAAATCTTGTGGAATGACAGAATTCCAGGTTGGAAGGCACCTCAAGGGTCATCCTTTCCTGGCAAAAGCATGATCTAGGCAGGATGGCCCAGCACCCAGTCTAGCTTATCTTAAAATGTCCAACACTGGGAAATGCACAACTTTCTTGAGGAGATTATTCCAATGACTGATCTCATTGTAGAATACTTTCCTCTTGTGCCCAGTTGGAATCTGCCCAGAATTAACATTTTTACCTACTGTCCTTCATCTTTTCCATGTGGTTCCCTGTATAAAGGGAGTCTCCATCTTTTTGTAGCTGCCCTTTAAATACTGAAACATGGTGAGGAGGTCTTCCCTAAGCCTTCTTTCCTCAAGTCTGGCCAAACCCAGTTCTCTCAGCCTGTCCCAAATGGCAGGCTTCCCAGGCCTTTGATCACCTTTGTGGCCCTGCTCTAGACCCTGATAAATTCTCTAAAACTGATTTTTATCTCTGCAATAATGCCCGTTGTGAATTTCAGTGAGTTCACAGGAGATAGTGCAATATGTCTCAGAGTTCCTGAAGTGCAAAATAAGCATAAGACCTTTAAATCTGTCTGAGAATGGATTTGACACAAATGCAGAGATACCTGGGTATTTCCTCTGCTCACCTGTTTTGCAGTCCTTGTCTGAGGAGGGCTCTGGCACTGCCACCATTCTTGCTGGTCCAGCAGTTGGTGACAGGACCCTGTGACATAAACCCCTCTTGTGGGCAGAGTGTGTAACCTTCAGCAGGTCATGGTTGTGACTTCTGGGGCACTGCCTGGAACATAAAACTGGTGAATGCTTTTAGAGAATAATCCAGGATTGGCCTGGGTGGGGAGGATGTTTGATATTTGCCCAAACACTCACATTTGTAGCTTTTCAGGTTCCATAGGCACAAATGTGCTACTGTCTTGTAAGGACATGATGGCTCACAGGTCCCAGGCTCAGTTTGGAATGGTGTGATGAATATAACAGAAATGTTATAAAAATGTTATAACAGAAATGTTTGCATAGAGCAACCAGAGCTATTGGCACATTGTTTTTCAAAAATACTTCTCAGTAGTTCTATAGCACAGATACACAATATCCATGGTAGACTGATACACATGTATTGGCTTCTTTGCAGTAGGCAAAAGTCAGGAAGAAGAACTGTTTTAAAGTGTTAATTAAAGTATTAACCATTTTGGTTGTTTTTAGGTCTGCTGACTTACTCTTTTTCCAGCTGTGCCAATTTTTAACTGTCTTTCTCATTGCAGGCTTTTACTTCAGCTTACCCAGTCACAGCAGCTGTCCTTTGTGCTAGAAAATAACAGAAAATGCCAGAAAGAAATTGATGACAAAGTGGCTCTCCTTGGTTTCGATGAAAACTCCTTGCTGTTGATGACCAAAGTAAGAGGATGTTTCATTGTGTGCAGGGCCTGAGTTCTCTGTGTGGGCTGGTTGTGCCCAAAGCATGGCACTCCCCTGAGCTCACTAAGAGTGCCAGGAATACAGGAATGAGCTGGGGCAGCTGCAGGCAGGGTGTTACCTGAGCTGACAGAGGTGCCTGTGCTGCCCTGGCCTGTGTCACACAGGTGGGTCTCTGATCTGCTGAGATTCTCCTTTCAGGAATGTGCAGTGTTGCTCAGTTTCTCACTGGACTTGTATTTGCAGATGCATCAGCACTGTGCATTTCCTGGGAGTTACATTTTATCTCAGGAGTTTTAGATGCCCCAAAGTGAATCACTAGTTTGAAATGGAAGTGCAGATTACTTTGATGGCCACAGCAGTATTAAACACTTGCATAAAAAGTACTAAGTATTTCCAGAAAATCCAGAGACTTTCTTTTGCATTTTTTAGTTTTGTTTAATGTAGTAGTTTTAAAAAAATAACAGAGGAGAGCAATATTGCATTTAATCTCTTCGCAGAGATTTAACATTTTTAGTGCTATTTAAAGAGCTTCTGACTTTTATCATTAGGATCAAAATAAAGCCAGCTAGATTCTTTCTAACTTTGCTGTCAGCATTACAGCTTTAGGCTAGTGACAGCCAAGCCACGGCTGGGCTGCAGGCAGTCAGGGATGGCATCCATGAGAGGGCAGTAGCACACAGGCTAGCTCAGGGTTGGGAAAGGCTGGAAATAGAAACTTCTCTCCTTGCTCCCCGTGCTCTGACATGCCCCAGGAGCAGCTCAGTGTTGATGCTGATGCAAGGTGAGCACTGAATGCAGAGCTGCTTGAGATTTCTGCTGCTGTTCAGAGTGAAACCCCCCTGTGCAAGTGCAGCCTGAGCTGGAGGGGTTGTGCAGGGCTGAGCTTTGGTCTCAGCTCTCCCTGAACACAGAATGCCAAGGCAGGCACCTTCAGCATGGCTTGGAAACTTCTCCAGGATGGTGGGTGGTTCATGTGACAAGGCCTTTGCCTGTAAAGATCTCTTATTGCCTTGTTTGATAGGTATTTCTCTGCAAATTATTTTCTTGATTCCCTTCTTTCTTACTCTTTTTGCAGGCTATGGGACAGGATCTTATACCAGAAAAACTAAAAGAGGAGTTTCAGGGTGAGGTAAAATGCATAGGCCCTTCAGCACTATCATCACTGGTAACTGCTTCAGTCATGGAATTTGAAATCAAATGGTTTGGTAATCTCCAAGATGACTTATGTCACTTTGATGGACAATTTTATTCAGACATTTATCTCCCACCTTTGGTAACATAGACATTTTCTTGTATTTATTCTTGTATCTCCAAATTATTATGGCATGATACATGCAATAAAGTTCATTTTACATTTTTAAAGAATTCTTACCATATTTCTTTTTAGATATAGATCCCTGTATTTAAACTCTTAACCTTGCATCCTTTTCTTTGTTTACTGATTTATTTGTATTTAAAATTATAAGGAATACAGTGTAAAATCAAGATTTCAGAGGTAGCTTTCTATCATAATCCTCACCAGTTTGTGGTTGAAGTGTATGTGATTGTCTGGAGGCCTGCAGTGCTGGTGAGATGGAAGCTTCCTTTCTGATGTCCAACTGGAAAGTTTCTTGGTATCAAATTTGATGTTGTTGCATTTAGAGCCATGGAATCAGCCATTTTCTTAAGTAATTATTTTAGTATTTCTTAATTAACGTTATAGTGATTTCCTGTTCAGAGACAGATTGCTAGAAATCTCAAATTTATTTATGCTAAGAAAAACATTAATTCCATATCTTTTAGAAAGGAAATCTAAGTTATAAATATTTAACTTCAAACTAGGAGATTTTCTCCTTTTGAAGCCAAGTGTTTGTTGCAGGCATCAAACACGCCATAGTCTTGTGTTCAGTGCTTAGACAAGGAGAAAAACTGACAAGGTTGTTTATATGTACTGAGGAGTGTTTAGTCAGATCATATCCTTTGTAAAAGCCTGCAAGGAAGATCTTTGCTGTGAAAACTGGCAGTGTTGTTTCTGCCTCATCCAGCTCCGTCTGTTGTGCTTTCAGTTGTCAGTGACAACACTTTGCTTTGCTTTCTCAAGCCCTGGTGCTGTGCTTTGGGCATCTAGAAGAGGGCAAAGATCCTCCTGTAGTTTCTTTCACTTGAAACAGTTTACATTTCAGACATACATGGTGTGCTCTTCCTCCATCTTCTCTTAAACTTCTCTTAAACCTAATTTTTCTGTAGTTTTCTGCATAAGTGTTCTATAATGGATGTAATTTAAAACTGGGAGTGTCTTAGACGTACTTTTCTGTCCATTTTCTTCATGTGTTCCTGTGTTTTCTTTCTGGAGTACTAAAGAGTGCCAAAACCTTAAATAATTCACAAATGAATGATGATTCACCATGTGTGAATTGTATCTGCTACTTTTGGATGAATTTCAAAGCTTTAAGATACTGATTAGGGAACCTATCACGAGTCATAGAGTGGTTTGGATTGGAAGGACATTAAAGGTCATCCAGTTCCAACCCCGCTGCCACAGGCAGGATCACCTGCCACTAGACCTCTCTGGTCATCCTGTTCTGGTGTCTCACCATTCTCACAGCAAAGAATTTCTTTCTAGTATCTAAACTAAATCTGCCCTCTTTAAGTTTCAATCTATTCCCCCTTGCCCTGTGACTACAGGCCCTTGTAAAAACTCCCTCTCCAGCTCTCTTGTATCCCCCCTTATGTACAGGAAAGTGCCAGTGAGATCTCCCCAGAGCCTTCTCCAGGCTGCAGAGCCACCTGTCTCAGCCTTTCCTTACAGGAGAGGGGCTCCATCCCTCTGAACATCTTTGTGGCCTCCTCTGGCCTCACTTCAGCAGGGCCATGTCCTTCCTGTGCTGGGGACCCCCGAGCTGGGTGCAACACTGCAGGTGGGGTCTCAGCAGAGCAGAGCAGAGCAGAGCAGAGAGGCAGAATCCCCTCCCTCACCCTGCTACCCACAGGGCTTTAGGTGCAGCCCAGGACAGGTTTGTCTTTCTGGGCTGCAGGGCTGGGTCATGCCCAGCTCTCACCCAAGCACCCCCAGGTCTCAGCACAGCTGCTGTGGGTCTGTTCCTGCCCAGCCTGGATTGGTACCAGGGATCACCCTGACCCAGGTGCAGCATCTTGCACTTGGTCTGGTTACACCTCATGAGATTGTTGAGGTTGGCAGGGCTCTCTGGATGGCATCCCATCCTCCAGGTGTGTCAGCTGCACCACTCAGCTCGATGTCATCTGCAAGCTTGCTGAGGGTGCACTCCATCCCTTCGTGTGCGTGACTGATGAAGAGATTGAACCCTTGGTGTGGTTCAGCCCTCTGCCAAGCTGACTGAAACTTCTCCAGAAAAATGGAATACTTGCCTTCAGCCATGTCAAATTACCTGTGATAGTTGGGTGAGTTAGTGTGATGGAAGCACATCCTGGGCAGCTGGTTATGAAAGAGGATGACTCGGCAGGTGTCCTGGGTGAGCACTGCTGCTCTCACCCTGTACCGGAGATTGGCTTTAGTCACGCGCGCGCTTCGCTGGGCGGAACGTGGGTGTGCGTTTGTGCCGTGCTGCACTCAGTGCTGTGCAGCCTGCTGGAAGGGCTGGGGATGCTTTCCAGACTCAGAGGTGTCGTAATTCTTCAGAAGAGACTGTCCACAATGTGTTGTAAATTAATTACAATGTTGGCATTGACAGGAGAATCTTACAGCAAAGACAGCAAATGTGGAAAGCTTAATGCTAAATATGTCAGCAAAAAAATGAAACGTGGACATCTCCCACTTTCTTCTTGAACTGAAGGTCATGAGTGGCCACATAAAAAGGCTGTAATTTGTTTTGTCTCAGCTGTTAGGACATCAGAACACAGCTTTTATGGGACCAGGACTGTATAGACATTTAATGGAAACTCACCAAATTATTTGGCTTCACAAACAGCATTGGAACTGTTTTAGCAGCAAATTAAATACTTGCCAAACGTTGTCATTTTGCAACTGAGATGTCCAAAATACACAGCAGCTAGCCAAGGTGATTTGGAGACCTTTTGTTGTCTGTCCAGATTGTTTGACTTGACACTGTCACTTAAGCTGGGAACAGAAAGGTTAACTCCCCACTGACAAGGACAAGAGGTAGCTCTTAAGAGCAGGCAGTATTTTCAAAAACATAATAATAAAGCAAAAATGTTGATTTTAACTAGTGCAAAGAAAAGAAGATGAATGCTGTTCAGAGTGTGTCACATAGTTACTGTTCCAAATAGCCAGTGTTTATTGCACTGGGGCTATAAAATGTTCCTTTGTCCCATTTTTGCCTGGCTATCTCTCATCTCAACTACTTCAGTTCTTCCTTTCTTGGACTGCCTCTCCCTTTTTTGTGCCTCTTCTAACTCCAGTTTTCTGTTTCTGATCATGTCTCTAGAGGGGCTTTGCATTTCCATTTTCCATTGAATGCTTCATTGTTGCCTCTACCTTCTGCATAATTTTACATCTGCCTGTAATAGATTTCTTCATGATTTGGCTTTTATATTATTGTTGGTATTAGCACGTGCCTCACTACTCCATTCTGAGTTAAACAGCAAATTGTAGTATTGCAAATTGCAAGTGAGAATCCACTAACAGTTCCTGAGGTTTGATTTTGTTATTTAAACACTTGCCTGTGGTACAGGTGCTTTGGGCAGGACCCTGTGCTGCTGGTTGTGATGCTCCTGGAATGACTGCTGTGTGCAAACACGGTTCTGTGCCTTGCTGTTGAGAGTTTGCTGCTGGCTCTGAGGTGAGGGACCGCATGAGTGCTGTAATCAGTAATGTTCACACAGAATCACCCAATGATTTGGGTTGGAAGGGAACTTCAGAGGTCATCCAGTTCCAGCCTTCCTGCCTGGGGGGTTGGCAGGGAACTTTCCACTCTACCAGGTTGCTCAAAGCCCCATCCAGCCTGACCTTGAACACTGCCAGTGATGGGGTGTGGGATCTCAGCACCTCAGGACTGAGGTGCCGAGTCACCGAGACCACCCTTGGGGGGCTCGGGAGTCCTGGAATGTTGCCAGAAGTGTCTGGTGGCTGGACTTTGATCCTACACAGGAGACGACACTTGTATGAGGATAGGAGGATTTCACCGGAGTGAATGGTGAAGGGATTAGTTAATTAGAGAGTGAAACACAGGGTTTAGGATTTCTGTTCAGGGGGGTTTAGAGAAGTAAGATGGAGGAATTGGGGCGTGTCCTGTCCTTCTTCTTCTTCTTCTTCTCCTCCATCTTCTATGGTGATGGTGGCACTTTAGGATTGGTCATTACTAAAAGTGCACTGGTTAATAAGGGTAAAAGGTATTGGGGAAAAATGATAAATATTGTACACGTAACTTTGGGTATAAAGATAGGTGACCGCCCGGAGGGCAGGGAGTGTGCTCATGGCTGGCTGCTGAGCAGACCTCTGTCGGGCCGAGAGAAAATCTTTTAGATAAACAATTAATAAACACCGAGACCGAGAAAAGATTTGAAGCCTCTTCTCGTCCTTTGAATCGCGGGCTGCCCCAAGGCCACCCCGGGCCTTTCCAGGCCATCCAAACAGCCGAAAATCGGACAGTGGGGCATCCATAACTTCTCTGGGCAACTGTTCCAGTGCCTCACCATGCTAATCATAAAAAAATTATTCCTTGTATCCAGTGTAAATCTACCCTTTTTCAATTTAAAACCTGTCATTCTGTCACTGGGTGGGGGTTTGACCTTGGCCTGCTGCCAGGTGCCCACTCCAATGTTCTATCATTCCCTGCTCCCTCAGCACCACAGGGAAGGAGAAAATAGGATGGATAGAAAAAGGACCTGTGGCTCACAATAAAGGCAGTTTAATAGAGAAAAAAATAGGGTTGTGACATGGAGCCCTGCTTGTGCTCCCAGCTTAGAGGCACCTTTATTGCTGGCAGTAGCAGAGGGGTTTTAGGTAGTGCCAACTTCTCCTGCTTTTTTTGTGGTACACATACACAAGCTAGATGAAAAATGCAAGCAAACCCATTTTGACAGTAATCTGGGAGCCCAGGTGGGATCCTGTGGGCTCCCCCCCAGTGACTGAGGTGATGGCATCTCACCCAGCCAGTACTGGGTGAGTTCCCCCAATTGTCCTTGCAGGATCCACACTGCCTGGGAAGGTCCTGACACTGGGGACAGCATCAGTCACTGGGGGTTCAGTAGGTAAGGTAAAATGGGGGTCACTGGTAACAGAAATTCAGGAAAAACTGAAGAAAATGGACAGTACTTCAGGGCTGCCATCAAGCTGGATGGAATTCTGTGTCAGGATGAGTGGCTGGAGTGCTGGAGGGGAGACTCTTGGAGCACTGGCCCTGGGAGGGAGGTTCCCCTGGTATGAGTCAGTTGATCTTCCTGCCTCCTATGGGATACACTGTAAGGCAGAATTGCTTCATTCCTGCTCACTATTCCCCATCACCTTCTTGTCCATCACAGGACAAACTGGAAACAATTTCCAAGGCTGGAAAAGGCAAGTGGAGTAGAGGTGCAGTTGGCAGGCCTAGTGAGGCTCCTGGAAAAGGAGAAGGAGTGTGGTGTGCAGTGGTTGAGGGAGGAGTAACACCTGGATGATCTTTGTTTTCTAGGAGGAATAACAGGGTAAGACCAGGGAACTGTTGGTGTCACAAAGGGGAAAAAAAAAGAAAACGGCCTGTGGAAGAACTGACAAACTGCTAACAATGGGCATGGAGAAGGCTGAGATAATTAATTTTCTGCTTCAGTTTTCACTGGCAACCTCTCCTCTTATGCCTTTTGAGTTGATGGCTCTCAAGGCAGGGACTGGGGAAGCAAAGTCCCTCCTACTGTGAGAGAAGATCAGGGTTGAGAGCACCTGAGGAACCTGAACATCCCTGAGTCTGGGACCTGGTGAGATGTGTCCTGGAGTCCTGAGGGAATGGCTGGTGGATTGCCAAGCCATTCTCCATGGCACTTGAAGTCATGCAAGTCAGGTGAATTCCCAGGGGACTGGAAGCAGCCTGTGGAGGAACCAATCAGTGAAATGCTCCCAGGTTGACAGGCAGCAAGCACAGGGAGTGCCCTGGAGCACAGGCTCCTCTGGGTGTCTCCAGTGTGAGCAGCAGTTGCTGGTGGGATCCGGTGGGAGTTGCATGTCCAGGCACCAGGATGCACATTCCAAACCACCTTAATGGGCAGCACTTGCTCACAGGACAGCAGCACAACAGCTGAAAGACCTGCAGGGCTAGTTCTGGTTCTGCCTGGGGAAGGGACACAGGGACACTTTGGCCAAGCCCAGCCTATTCATCCAGCCTAGTGCCAGGGTGTGAATGCTGGAGCAGCTCTGGGTTCCTGGTGCCCTGCTAAACCTCCTTTCCTGGTGCATGGCAGTCCCTTGGGCAGTGGCACTTGCCTGCTCTCTGCTCCCATGGTGAGGACATGCACAGAACCAGCCCTGACAGGAGTGTCCTCGTTGCTGTCACCACCAATGCTGCTCTGACAGGGCAGAATTGCCCTCCAGAAAGCCCTGGGGCTTTTCTCAGGCCCACATGGGGACTTAATTGACCTCCAGAGTGCTCTGAGGCCTCACCTGGGCTTTGCTGGGACCCATTGGAGGCCCTTGCTGCCCTCCACAGGTCCTCCCACTCTAAGAAAGTCTAAACATCCTCAAAAAAATCACTTTGAGTTAGAAAGTCACTTCTGTGGATAATCTGGAGATTGGTATAGGCTACATTTATTGAAGCTTTTAGCCTCACCTAGATCATCTTCCTTCAAAATAGGACAAAACAGGACAAAATAGGAGGGCAGCAGGGGAATCCAGTGGGCCTCAGCAAAGCCCAGATGAGATCCTGAGTCACTACAGAGAGTGACCAAAGCAGAGGGGCAGAATCCCCTCCCTGGCCCTGCTGCCTGTGGGGCTTTGGATGCTGCCCAGGGCACGTTTGGTCTGTGTGTGCACAGCTCATGTCCAATAAACCAAACAGAGTTCCCAGCTTCTCCTCTGGGCTGCTCTCAATCCATTCACCCCCTGCTCTGCACAGGTGCAGGACCTTGCACTTGGCCTTGTTGAACTTCATGGGGTTCACGTGGGCCTCCAGCCTGTCCAGCTGCCCCTGGATAACCTCCCTTCCCTCCAGTGACTCCCCTGCAGCACTCAGCTTGCTGTCATCCCCAGCCCTGGGGAGGGTGCACGGTGTGGTAGCTGAGTTTGGAGCCCTTCCCTTGCTGGAGATGGACAGGGCAGGTCAGCACCTGCCATGGCCTCCTGACAGCTCCTGCAGCTGCCCAGGAACGTTGCCCTTTATCACTAACTTGTGGGGGCCTGTTAGGATTTTTAGCATAACTCATTGCTGACATTGTAAACTGACTGTTTTCCATCAAAACTGAAACTTCATTCACTTGATGTTCAAGTTCAGATGTTGTCTGAACCAACACAAGCTGTTTTCCTGATCCAGCTGAAATTTACTCACAGTGGTCCTTCTGGATTATCAGCTTGACCCTTACCCACTTTTCATTAGCTATGTTCTCCAAAACTTTTGTAGGCAAACTGTCTTGCCCCACAGAGGTGAAAAGAGCTCCTCCATGGACTTCACAGGTCATGGCCTGAGGAAATCAAGGTCTACAAACTTCCACCCACATCCCCTCTGTACCACCCCAGCTGGGCCACAACAGGACCAGTGAAGTGAAGCACTTTTAGAAGGAAAATCTTAATTAGTCTCTTTGGACACCTTAATTCTGTTCCTGTTGATTTCTTCTTCTTTCTGTTTCTTCTTCATCTGGGCTTTGGCTGCATGGGACTCATTCAGCTTTTGAAAGAGAATAGAGTAAGGTGTACAGGGCAATAGAATATGAAGAAAAAAGTATTCTCTTTTATTTAAATTCTTGCTCTGTTCAGATAATTAAGTAGAATTATCATAGGAATGAAAATCAAATTTCCCATCTCCCCAAGGAATCCAAAAAATGTTGCTATGTACAGAATTTACATTTGTATGCAATAGTTGATTATTATTATTATTATTATTATTATTATGGACTCCAAAATTTGGTATTACTGGTTAAAATACCCATACTGAAGCTAGAGCAGGATGTGTCCATCCTGTACCTTTCATAATGTTCTTTAAACTTTACAGGTATCCTTCTAAAATTATTGCTCTTCCAAGGATGAAAAACCTTCTACACCTTCTTCACATACAGTTACCATCATCCACAGTCTACATAATTAAATTGTATTGTTTTTAAGCAGGTGAGAAGTCAGGAAAAACAGGCCAAAAGTGCAAATGTGTTTAGGGTTCTCTTTTCTGTTGGAGGCATATGAAAAACAATACAAAGCAGGTGTGGAACAAAAAAAGTCTACAGATAAATCAACAGCTGTTAGGCATCTTGATAACTTTGGATAGAAATCCTTTGTTTCATGAATTTTCTTACTTTTGCTTACAAGAGCTTCCTTAGTTTTCATGGATTATTTGGCAGAAAGTTCTTCACGTTTAGTTCATACTGCTGAACCTTTGTAACTCTAGTCCATGGGCACTACAGACACCCAGTTTATCTTTAAAAATTAGACGCCATGAAGAACTTGGCAGAATCTCTAACTTCACCTTCAATCAGATGACCACAGAAAGGATTTCAAAGATCCGTGTGCAATTAAAAGAACTGGAACTCAGTCCCGGTGTGTTACTAGTAGGGCTTTGCTTCTTTAACTCAGCTTCATTTTCCAGTCTGAACCTTCACAGGTGCTCTGCATAAGGAAAGTTGCTCTGAGCTGTAGGATTGGAGGTTTGTAACCAGGTGTGCTGGGACACACCCGTGTTGCTGATGAGTGGAACGGGACGTGGGGTGAATGTGTCTCCCACAGCCAGAACTGTCACTCTCAGTCCGTGTCAGGGGTACCAGGCCCCTTCCTAAGAATCCTTGGGAACAGCCATCCTTGCTGTGCAGCTCAAGCAGAGAGCTCTGAGTGCTGTGGCAGGACCTGTGCTTCCCTGCCAGCCCAAAGACAGTCCCCCATAAATCAAGATCAACGTCTGATGAGAGCACAAAGGTATCCTGCTGCTGCCACGGAAATAGCAGCCTTCAGTCTCCTTATTCAAGTGTATAAAATGCATAGCTGTAAACTGTGTATTGCCCCCTTTCAGTTGCCTGGACATAAGGAACAGTCACTGTCCTTCTGGTACACGAATATGCCACCAGGGGCAGGTGACAGGCAGCAGCAGTGTGTGAGCAGCACTATTCAGATGTGCTCTTCCTGGGATCCTGATGCACCTGAGGTTCACACATTAGCAGCCTTGGCTTTTTAATCAGGGAAATGAAGCATCCATAAGCAACAAAACAAGAGGCTTGAAATCATCCTCATTTGTATTATACAGAATTTCTATATTCATCAGTACACAAGTGATTGCTAAACAGGTCCTCACTACATTTACTTGGATTTCCAAACAAGGTGGTTATTATGCAAACAAGTTAGCTTTGTGGAGGCATCTCCAGGATGAGCTTAACCCCGTCCTGTTCGGTTCCTCTTGCCTGAGCCTTATAGGTCTGTAAATGTTCATGTTCATGTTGTTATAGGGAACGGTGGCGTTCTCGGTGGCCATGTAGTGCGGCTGGTAGTAGTTAGGCTGGATGGCCGGCTGTGGAGGCGGGGGGGTGAAGGACATGTAGCTGTGGAAGGAATTGACTCGCTGCAGAGGTGACTGGGGGCTGAAGTTGCTGTTGAACATGAGCGTTCTGGGGGCCTGCTTGCTCTGGTGGGCGCTGCCGGCCGAGAGGCTGCTGAAGTCGGACAGGGTGTTGGCGCTGCCCTGCTCGCTGTAGGGGAGGCTGCGCGGGGGCGCCCAGCTCCGGCTGAACAGGAACGGGAGGCTGCGCGGCGGCGTCCTGGGGCCGCGCACGGGCTTGGACAGCGCGTACAGGTGCCGGAACTCCTCGTCAAACAGCTCCACAACCTGGCCCGTGAACTTGGAGAGGAGGTTGCGGTGCACCTGGCCACAGAGCCACGTGAAGCTGGAAGAAGAGACAAGGTAAGGGTTAGAGTTAACGCCGGCCATCAGGAACTGCAGATCCCCGCAGGGGTGCTGCGATAGGCAAATGTGTTTTACTGCTGAAGCTTCTTGTCTAAACACAGGATGAAGATGGTGTCGAAGTTGAATTTCCGGTCAGTTCACATCAGTGCTCTTTAACTTGGATCAATCTTTGTTGTTGCAGCTGCCTCTAAAACCTTCAAGAAACCCAGCAACGTTATGCAACCTCCTGAAGGGAGTGGTGATCCAGATCCACTGCACGGATAAATGTCAAATACAACACCCAAGGTATGGGTGTCTGTTCCATGGAAAGGAACCCCTCTTTTGAGGACCTCTCTTCCATGCACAGTGCTTAAATTCAGGTCATGCCACGTCTTATCTGCACACACATAAACTGTACCTTGTACCCTGCAGCATGCCATTCCACTTGGTAACTCTCAGCCACTCCAAGTGACATCAAAAAGACCAGGAAAAAAGAACCATCCTTTGCTTCCATTTTCCCATAATCTTTCTGCCTTTGTCCAGAGAAACACTTAAAAATCCCAACCTTCCTGTCACACCCCATACCACAAAGGAAGCTGCCACACCTGATAAAAGCTTGTTTCTTCACTACAGAGTAAATGAAATTAGAAATATTTCCTACAGCATTTCCAAAAATAAATGTAATACTTTGCTAAAAAGTAAGGGAGAAACACCACAATAGTTTTAATTCTGGTAGTTCAGAGACACACCTTAGGATAACCCACAGCTTTTAAATTATTTTTCTTTTATGTGCTTCCCTAATCCGCTCAGCAAACATAAATTTGCGCTTTTATAAAACCACAAGGCAGCTTGGTTGTGTTGTGCAGGCTGCCGTGTCTGAGCAGCAGCAGCACCAATAAAATGAGCACAGTTGAGAGAATGAAATATAATTACTCCCTGAACTGACCAGGGTTTGAGCTGTGCAGCAGAGGATACAGAGCAGCAGTGGATTTGAACTTGAGATTATTCTGTGTTGGCAAAACTCTGCCAGGGTTATTCCTGCGTGACTTTATTAGCTATGCTGGATTTGCACAAGGGCTGCTGAGAGCCAGATCTGGCTGTAGGTGTGTGCACTTAAAATCTTGTCATGTTTTGATAAAACTCCCGTGAAGCTCAGTGGGACTGACAGCCTGAGCTGATACTGAGGCAGTAAGACACTCAATTTACATCTGCTTGTCCAGAGCATTCCTAAGGAGGGTTGGGTTTGAGGTGTACAGTGATTTTATACTGTTGCTTCAGGAGCAGGGGGAGGAGTGAAGAAATCAGTAGTTCAATGCCACTGGGCATCCATACAATTTATACTGTACATTTTATGACTGGACATGAAAACACAAAGTAAGTTACTAAAACTCAGACACTTCTCATCCACTGTGTTTAAATCATTCTAAATATGGACAAAACCATGGGAGCCAAGGTAAAGAGCAAGCTAACTCCCTGCTGGGTGTGTAACATCTGCTGTGCCACCTCAACATTGCCTTTATTCACTGAGCAGTGCTCTCTAAACCTTTGCATGTCCTTATCTGACTGTTAAAGACACAGTAGGTCAGGAGTAAATTAAAAAATGCACACAATTTTTCTAGGATATCTATATTGAAGGTTAGAAACTCATGAAAGGGCTGAAGTCTAAAGTATCATGTTTATACTTTATGTGCTAGAGATAGACCTAGTTTATAAAAGAAAAGTTAGACAGAAGTAAAAATCAATTACACTTGTAAATGGCTGTTAAAAGCCTAATCAGAGGAAAAAACCTATTCTGCCCAATTTTGATAATTTACTCCCACATGTATCCCTTCCTGGAGTACCTGACAGACAGATCCTAGTTTGTGGGTCATTGATTTTACCTGTAACCCTTGTAAACAGAGAAAGATCAAATGAACAGCCCAGAGATCCTCCAAGAACCAATGGCAAGTGGGTCAGCTCAAAGTTACAAGGTAAGATCTTTGTGATTATAGACAAAGCTTGTGGGCTGGTTGTGTAGTGAGTCACAGCAATTTACAGCCTGTGTACTTTGCTGGAGAACAAAACAGAACTTGGCATAAAAGACTTAACAGTTTTTCATTGGCTTAATGCTAAGAGAAGATGCATTGTTTAGGTTTCAGGCCTTGTTTTGTTCCTTAGTTTACAATTGTTTTGCTCCTTAGTTTACAATTGTCTTTTGGGACAGGCTCAGAGAAGTCTGTTATTGTCACCGCCTGCCCAGAAGGATCACTTTTCTCCCATTTTTTTTGGGGTGAAGCTCATCAAAAGAGAAAAAAGCACAAAGAAATGATGCCTGGCTTGGGGCCAACACAGGCAGATACTGGATACTGCTCAGCCATCTTTCCAGGGCTTTGTCCTATGTCCTGTTACAGAGCCTCTCATTTATGGTGTTCTCAATCAAATCCCACCTCTTCTGTTCAGCATTGCACTTGTTTTACAATGGATGTCCTCTCTGCACTGCTGGAGCTGCAGTTCAGCAGGGATGTTCTCATCCCTGTGTTTGCAGTGCTGCAGCAACGTGCAACCAAACACCCATGGAATCTGAAATGGAAGGAAGGACAGACTGGGGTTTTCAGCTGGGCTCGGGTTTGGGTTACCCCAGATGTTTGTGTTGCCTGCTGGTACCAGGATAACCTGTGTGGGACAAACCTGAAGTCATGTCCCTGGCAGAGCTTGTCCGTGTGAGCTGTTAGGTGCTGACTCTGAGGAGGCCAGTGACTTTCAGAGTGGCAGCCAGGGACATACTCAGGTGCCCCTGGGGATCAAGGTCTGTGCTTTCTGCTGTGTTCATTCTGCCTTCTTCAGGAATGCTGAGCTTATGCACTGTCTAATTTCAAAGTTGTTAAAAAATGGAATAACAGTTACCATAGGATGAGGTAGAGTGACACAGAGACAGCAAAAATAAATACTGCATTCTAACCCCTCACCATAGACACTGGCAACAAAAGCTGAGAGTGTGTCCTGAAGGGCTATTTTATTTCCTCAGCCTGTTCCCCCCACCACTACTGCAACTTCGGTGAAATTTGGTGTTGTATTTTAAAATCTTTGTATCAGTTTTAAGATCTACTACAATGTGATTTCCAACAAATGCATTGCAGAAGAGTGTGAGTCTGTTTCACCCAACATCATTCTTGTTTATACCTGAAGAGGTTGGTGGATAAGATTTAGGCATAACAAAAATCTTTCAGGTTAATAAAGTGAGAGCTAGCAAGAAATGCCACATACTGGTAGTCAGCTATAACTCATGTGAATTGCAAACTGGTGCTGAAGTTAAACAGTTTTTTATAATTTTAATTACATTTGTTCCTCATCACCCTCTCTGTTTGTGTGCTAGATATGGAATTACACAGTTTGACAAGGTACTTGAGATTAGAAGATATTCAACAGCAGTAGAGAAATACAGAAGTGACTGCACAGGACTTGAGGTGTTTGTAGTGGTTTTGGTATTGAAAGAGAAGCCAAAAGGAAGCTTCTTGGTCAAAGAAAATAGATCTTGTTCTGTCCTTCTCCCACACATCCTTCACTTCTCTATACAAGCCTTTTGTTGGATTTTAACACATCTTTGACAAGGGATTAAAAAACACCCAAAATAACAAGAAAACAAAAGAACAGTCAATAAGAAAGCCCCAACCCTGAGTGTCCGTGAAGTTTTGTCTGGTGGTTCATCTGGAAATGTAATGAAAAGTGGGTGCCTGTGTTAGTGCACATCTGAGCTCCTGCAGCCCATCCCCACAAATTCACTTTTTCCTTTGTTACTGTAGTTGTGTAAACTTCCTGGTGGTACAGCTTTATCAGACCAGAGGCATTTAAGCTTCCAAATTGTAAACTGGGACTAAGAAAAATAATCACATCCTTTAAATTAAATAATCACCTCTTGTAGTTTTGTACCTGGATTTCTAGGATACACTTGGTCATTTGTGAAACATATCTATGTAGCCATGATGCTCAGAAACTTCATTTATTTGATGCAAGCTCAGTCTCCTGAAATTCCCTGACCAGAGGATCTAGGATCTTAATTAAAAATCCAGTTGTTGAGATGCTATATCCACTACCTGAAATAATTATAGCAGCACAAACAAAACAAACAAAGAAAAAAAATTAAAAAGGGAAAAAACAAAGGTACAGCAGTTATGTAGGTATATACTGCCTACCTGTTAATGAAACACATGGAGAAACAGTAAGTCTCTGAAGTATTTCTGTTGTACCTTTAATCACTACATTTGTCATATGAAGAACAAATCCTCAGATAAGATGAGTGACATATGCTAATTAAGGGATCCCGAGGGAGACAGAAATGTATCATGTCATGATCACAACACTTGAGAACCCTAACAATGAGGAAAGCATAATATTAAGCTGTACACATTTCTAGCTTTGCCCCAGGGCTGCACTGGCAAAGTTGTTTACATTAGTTTCTGAGCATTTAAATTAAAACCCATGCTCCATAAAGAACTAAGAGCAGCTTTAAAGCAAGTTAAATAGATTTTTGGAAAAGGGCACCTATTTGAAAACACGAGGTGTTGTTTATTAAACAAAAGCTTCTTACCTTACAAAGATTTCCATGGCACTTTTTTTGGGAAGAAGTATTAAAAATCATAGAAGAGTACCTAGAGATGAAGTGCAATGGCTTATCTCACCTGTAAGATCCAGAAAGCACATATCTCCAGTCAGAGATAAGAAATTTTTCTTGAATTTTTCCTGAAAATTTCCTGCCTGACTTGGCACAGTAAACCTCTCCAGTAACACTGCGGACTGAAATATTCTGTAAATAAAAACAAAATTGAGTGAATTGCATGTCTTTTTAATTAAAAATCAGACAGGGAGGACCCCCTTCCCCCACTGCCTTTAGCTCTTCATTGCCCCACAGTCAAATTTCTTTATGGACTCTCTGATGTGATATTTGGAGGTTTGTGTCCAGAAGAAAGGCAGCCAAGGTCTCTCACTCGCCAGGGGTTACTTGTTGCACTGGGGATAAACCTGCAGGAAGCTCATGCAGGTGGAGCTGAGCTGGGCGACAGTAACTGACCCTACCCCAGCCAAAGGAGCATGGATGTGTCCATAGCTGGGAGCAGCCATCCACTGGCACCCCAGGCACAAGCTGCTGTAGCTGTATACTCTGATTTACACTGCCTGTGCCATGGCACAGCAGGGCAAAACCTCTGCTCCTCCAATCCACCTGGGCCTGCAAGGACACACGTGCAAGGACACACTCTCCTCAGGACCGAGGGTTTACAGGCATGCAAACACCTATGAACACGCATTATTAATTTCAGCTTCTTTATATATTTGGGATGGAATTCAGCTGTTGAAAACCAGGTGTCTGGTGTATGTGTAAGATGCCCTCAGGTCTCCTGTGTGCCCACAGCTGCCATTCCAGAGGTCTGTGGCCTTGCAGTATCCCCCATCCCCAGGCAGATGCCATAGCAGCTCTACAGCATCTCAAGCAGCAACTGAAATAATCCCTAGGAGGAGTTATTTTAAAGCCAGCTCCTTCTGACAGAGATGAAGGCAGATTAAACTAACAGCCACCTGAATTTGAGAGCTTTTAACATATTTTATCAGAAATATGTTCAAATTGTAAAGAAGCTTTAACACATTTTATCAGAAACCACACAGTGCAACCAAGCTATGGCTATGCAAAAGAGTTTTGTGCACCTTGTCCCTGTGGCTGCCAGACCACAGCTGCTGCAGAGCGATTAAACAGAAGCAGCTCTAATGCCTATGTTAGATAACTCTACTAGGGAAATCTAAGTCCTGTTTTAAGACTTCAGGGCCAAGATTACTTTCATCTGAGGACCTAATGGAAATGCCTTACCTTTCTATAATATCCATGGGAAAACGTAGGCACCTTCAAAGAGGAATTGGGTGTGCTAACACTACCCCAGGAAATCTCTTGCACCCTTTTAATTAGAAGGTGGATTGACCCCAGCATAACCATGCTTGCAGCTCAGAGTGCCTGCAGTTAGGCAGACAGCTCTCAGCCCAGGAGCTTACAGAGCCACAGTACCTTGAAGAGATCCTCAGAAATCTGCAGCTTGTCGCACATCTCCGAGAAGAGATCTACACTGCTGTGATCGAGCAGCAGGTAAACAAAGACCATGCGCTTGTTAGCTGCCTCCAGCAGGTCGCAGAGAATCTCAGTGTCTGTGAACACATCCATCACAATGGCCAACACCTTCAGAAAAGAGCAGAGGCATTAGCAGAGTCCATTTACATCACTTAAGGTTGCTATGAGGACACTGTGATGTGGTTTATTTGTTTAAAAAACATTCCAATAAACACAAATATTTAGTTATATGTGGATATTTTTTCTGCTTTTCTCCCTGTTAGTGCCTGAATCATTAAATTGATGAAACATATTGTCTCATTGTTTTATTCCTCATATAGAGCCAGTATAACACACAACATATGACAAGATGACACATGAATTTGTAGGTGAGATTTCAGCACTAGGAAATACACTGAAATACTTATCAGAGAATGATAAGGATGTGGCTGAATAAAAGACCATGGCCCTTTCCACAAGGCTCCCTAGGTGTCATAAGCCACACACATTCAGCAAGAATCCCTGGATGATGCTTTCTCTTTTATGATTTACACCTGGACAGCCCTGGCTTTAAAAAGCCTCACCCTGTTGTTGTTGGTGGTGGGTAGACTCCAACAGCTCCATGTTTTTTAAAACACTGATTTATAAACACACTGTTAGAATTTGATCACACATCCATGCTCCACAGTTCACCACTGGCAAAAATACTGTAAAAGTCTCAGGACTGGGCATAAAAGGGGACTGGACAACTATTTAAATGCACAGCCTGCAGCCAGTGTGGATCAAGGGAACTGCAAATGTTATATAAAACCAGCTCCATACTATTAAGTGCTGGTCTTGTCTGATGCCTGCTCTTGCCCATGGAAAGGTCAATTCAGCCCAGAAATCACCTGACTTACCTTCAGGAGGTTCTTGTTTCTCCACTGACTGGAGAGGAACCTTTGATAACTGCTCATGGGATATCACCTTCAATCAAAACAAACTTTCCAGCATCTCTGTAGATGTCTCTTACTAACTGCTTCCAGCTTGCTCTGAATCTCACTCCAAAGCCTAAGCCCACACCTAACAGCAAACTTATTCCCCCTGCCACCATGAGGATATGCTACAAGACCAGGCAATCCTGTGCAGCCATTGTCCTCTTCAGGCAGCCAAACTCTCTGAGGAGCAGTGAGGATCCCACACCTTCCTCCTGCTGCCAAAGCCTGGTGCTTCACAAAGAGCTTTGCCATGGCTAGGTGAGCACAATTATGTCAAGTATCTCACACCCACACTTCCTGTTAATGCCCCAGCTCCAGACTATTCTCTCTGGTTCTGCTCTTTACCACCTGTTCCCAATTTATATTTCTGCATCCGTCTTTCCTCCCTTACTTGCAGTACTCTTCATTTCTTATGCTCGAATTTCATTTTGTGATTTGCACCAATTCCACAAATGTGTTAAAATTGTAGCATCCTTTGCCAATCCTTTGCAGTTTGAGATCATCCATAAACACAGTCTTTATTCTGCTATTTAATTGTGTAATGCATATATCAAATACCAGGCTATCCAGGATGGACCCTTACCAGATGATAATTAATAACTGGTGCCATTGGAAAACTGCTCAAAAAGCAGTTCACAAATTTGTACTGTTAGTGTCACTTCAGCACACTCTCATAATGTAAATTAGATTATTAAGAAGGTCGTGTGAACCATGGGTTTATATGAAATTTGCCACATTTTCGCCTACAAGTTTTCTCTTCTTGGGACAGAAAATTGGTCTGGGTGATATTTTACCTGATGCCTATTTTATTATTCCAGAGACATTTCTTCTGTTTCTGCATCTTTCTGATGCCTCCAACTGAAAAGTACTGATCTGTAATTCTGCTGGTGTGGTAAGCACTTGTAGGCTTTGAGAGCAGTTGCCAACAGGGATCCTTCTCCCCTGCCCTTACACTCTGTGTTATCAGGGCCAGCACCAGCCCTTGCAGGGGAATACCAAAGTGGAAGAATCCAGAGGGCTGGGCAGTCTGTGCTGGGCAGCACTCCTGCATCCTGGCTTGGCTCCTGACCGTTTCTGGGTGAAACTGCTGCTGCTCTTTTTGGTTTATGTAAGGGCAAAACTCCTGGACGATGGTAAACACAGCCCTGAAGTATCATTTTTTTTTTTCCTAGGGAAACAAGAGAGCTGCTAGAACACACGACATCAGTGTTCTGTCCCACTCCAGCTGCTCAGTTTCTGGTTTCCCAGGCAGCCTGGCTGTGGCTTGTGGCTGGCACTTCTGTGGCCTCCACTACCTGTGTGCAGTCAGAGGCACCTGCACCTTTCCCACATGCCAGGTTATGCTGCAGAGTCTCTGTATGGAGCCCACATGACGTTTTAACTGATACAGGCAACATTTTAGGGATGAAAGGTCTATTTTCTGTATAATTTCCTTCTTCTGGGGATGGCTGTTGACATACCAGACATACTTGCCTTTCTTTAACCTCCCCTTCATCCACATCTCCCACAGATCCTCTCCACCAATTCCTAATGGCTGAGAGCTCACTTAGGCTTAACTCTCATTAAAGGTGCAGTGGTGTGAGCAGATAAACCCATCCTGCTGGGGTGGTGCATGAGAAGGGACAGAGCCAAGCTGCCCTTTTTGCAGCACATTTAACCCACTGGGTGAATGGAAGGTTACAAGAGAGAAGAGGGAATGCTTTTACTTAAGCCACCAACATTAAAAAATCTTGGTGTCAGTTAAAAAAAATAATTAAAAGCACTGCCCGTGTTCAACAACAAGCTCTCACAGGCACTTTCTAGAGCAAAGCTACACTGCAATGCACAGGGCTGCCTTGGATTAAACACCTTGTTCACCTGAGTTTGTAAGAGCAAGAGAGAACTGAGTGCAGAGGGAAGGACAATTCTCTCCTCATACCTGAGTGGTCTTGTGGATGTAGCGGCGTATGATGTCTCTAATGTTGCTGTTCTTCTCTGTTTGGAAATACACAGTGGCCGTGGATTTCTCCTTTAAATAGGGTTTCTCTGCAGTAATCCACGTGTGGAGCAGAGCAGGCTCGCTGCTATCAGAAATGGTGGGGAAGTAGGTCCCCGACGGCAGCGATCCCGCGTCGTTCTGCTTCGGCGCGGCTGCCCCGTCGGCACCCGGGGACTCCTGTGCATAGTAAGACTCGCGGGCGTTATCCTTGATGTACTGAGCCTCCACCGAGGAGAGGAAATCCACCTCACCCTCTTTGCTTAGAGTTTCCAGGTAAGAGTCTGTCCCACCATCCAAGAAGGCGTCGGTGGCCAATCTGATGCTTTCGTTGTGGCTGAAGTCCACTTTTGTCAACTTCAGGGACTGGTTCTTGATATCCTCCAACCTCTTCTTTATCTTGCCCATGTGTCTGGGGTGGTTCATGGCTCTCTGTCGCAGCAGCCGATCTGCCGGGCAGGCACCATGCATATGCGTGCCATAGGCAGGGCAATCGTCCTTCTTGTTTGAGGATTGCATTCTGGCATGAAATCGCCTCGGCTGAACGAATTAACTATGAATAAAAATAAAGAGATCTTATTACCACAGGCAAATTCACACTCCCTGAATTTGTCTCAACAATTATCTTCAAAACGAACCTGAAGCTTGCTTCTCAGGTGCTGGTGTACTCCGGCAGCAATCTGTTTCCAGATGGGACACAAATGCAAAGCTGATTAGATTGCTTATCTGAGAGGCACCCACCTCAGCCCCAGGGCATACGAAGAATTCGAGTCAAATTTACCACGGCCGTCGGATTCGATTGTATTTCCCTTCCTGTCGCATCCTGTGAAATATGAGTGAGGAAAGCACTCAAGCAAAAGCAGGTAGGCTCCCAAGCATCATTGCACAATCTTCAAAACAGCTTGAGGCTTCTGTCTTCCCATAGTATTCGTTAGGGAGAAAAAACAGCTCCGATGGTGAACTGGAACAGAGACAGCAGCCATGTCCATGGCTGCAGAACAGCCAAAAGGGTCAAGGGCTCTGTTCTGCACCTACATGCTGCCAGGCAGGCGTAAAAATAGATGTGAACTTCGTCACTGTGCCCCGTCCGGAGTATGGTGCTATTACCACAGACGATTCACTCACTTATTTCTTTAAAGCTTTGTGACTACGCCACCCTATTAAAAGCAAAATACCCCTTCCCAAACATCCTGAATATTACGTGGAGGGAGGGTTGTGAGCTGGCCTCAAAGCATCAGAAATACAAACACTCATCACTTGATTGTGCACATTTAAGGCTTTTTTTTTTTTTTGT